ATGTTTATTGTTAGTGGGAAACCAGACAGTCTTACTGAACAATGTTCTGGTTACGTTGTGGAAGATTCTCTCCCAGCTCTGAGATGCTGACAGGGGCGCTACATTACCCAGGCCTGTTTCTAAAGTGGGCATATTGCAGAGCTTTTAGAGAGCCTCTGAGATCTAAATGAGATTAGTGTCTATGCCTCTCAGCTGGCTGGACAGGGCAGCTCCCTGAGGATGGGGCAGGCGACACTGAGCTTCCTGGCTGGCTGGGGGCTGGGACTGCTGGACATGAAAGCCAGCAAAAGAAAGGTGTGCCCCGCAGCTGGGTCCTGCTGTCCCCTGGTGGGGGGCGGGGAGTAGTACAGGGGCAGGAACAGATGGTTCTTACCAGGCAGACCTGAGAGGGAAGGAGGGGCCTCCCTGCACCAGGAAACCTCAACCCCCTCTCCACTGGTAGCTGAATATGCATCTCCTGCTTGCAGGGCAGTGAACACTTGCTGCCCCAGAAGAATTATTTTCAAAAGTATCCCAGTTTGAGTGAAAAATTATGACTATTCCACTATTGATGACGAGGCCCCACGTGTTGACGTACTTGACCAACTTACTGCCAAAACCCCAGTAGATTCAAGTAAACCAAGAATGAGGGGCAGAGGGCTCTGGAACTCTGACTTGGTCTGACACACCCTTGACTGAAGGAGGCCTTGGCTGGCAGCCTCTACCCCCGACCCCAGGACTTGTGTAAGCAGGAAGCCATGTGACTCCTCTGTGACATGCCCCGCCCAAGTTCAGGACAGCAGGTCAGAGGGTCATGGAGCAGCCTGACCCCACCCAGGCTGGGAGGCAGAATATCTGCCTGTTCTCTAGGGCTCTACCACCTAGGTGGTACCAGTCCAATGCTCAGCCAGCCCTGCTTACTGATAACATTAGATTATCTCCACCAGACCAAAGAAGTTACTGGCCTGGTAAAGAGAGATAAGGGTTAGAATTGAAATCCACGTGTCCTTCTCAGCACCCAGCATTCATAATTAGAAAAGGACCCCAGTCTTGTATAAGGCTTCTACTTTGCAGGTGGGAAAAACTAAGGCTTGAGAGAAGACCATGAACAATCTGTGAAGGAGCGCACCTACCTGAGCAGGGCAGATTAACTGTCAGGGATGAAATTCTACCTCAGTCTTCTAAGTGATGCAACTCATGCTGCAGACTGCGGGTGGCCCAGCTTTCTTGTCTGTAAAGAGTAAGACTGCATCCCTAAACCTCACACACAAATGAGAAAACGTGACCTAACTACACAGTTCAGACACCTAGGTCAGGACCTAAAGAACTCTGTGAGGGTTAGCTGTTCACAAACACATCAAAACACGCAAAGGAGCCAGTCATGGTGGCTGTAATCCCAGCAACTCCGGAGACTGAGGTAGGAGGATTACAAATTTGAAGCCAGCCTCAGCAACTTAGTAATGCCCTAGCAACTCAGGCAAGATTCTGACTTAAAATAAATAAATAAATAAATAAGGACTGAGGATGTGGCTCAGCAGTAAAGCATCCCTGGGCTTAATTCCCAAACAATAAGTAAATATATACACAAAGGGAGCCAGGCACAGTGGCACACACCTGTAATCCCAGCTACCCAGGAGGCTGAGGCTGCAGGGGCTTGAGTTTGAGGACAGCCTAGGCAACTTAGTGAGAATCTGTCTTGGAAACAAAAACGCACAAATGCTACCAATGATCAACAACAAAACAGGGAAAGCCTCACTATTATTGATGCTTTTCTAGGGCAAAAAATAAAACTTGAATTTCTAGTCAGGGAAATTAAAACAGGTACCATTTCAAACCTACTAGATTGGTAAAAATTGAAATCTGGTAAGAGCTAGTATTGGTGAATAGAAGGAACAGGAACCTCCACACTGCTGGGAGTGAAACTGAGACAAGCCAGGTGCAGGGGCATGCCTGTAATCCCAGCAGCTTGGGAGGAGGAGGCACAAGAATCAGGAGTTCAAAGCCAGCCTCAGCAACCACAAGGCACTGAGCAACTCAGTGAGACCCTGTCTCTAAATAAAATACAAAAAAGGGCTGGGGATGGGGCTCTGTGGTTGAGTGCCCCTGGGTTCAATCCCCAGTACCAAAAAAAAAAAAACCCACAAAACAAAAACAACAACAAACACCAAACTGAGACAGTCACCCAGGAGTGCACTATGTCAATATCCAGCACAATAGAATATGTGATGAGTCACATGCCTTGTGACCCAGCCTTTAATTCTGCTTCACTTTTGCTTCTACACAAGAGAAACTCTTGAAAGTAACTGGGAGATTCAAAAAGATATTTACTGTAGCACTTGAGCAATAGTGAAAAAGTAGGAAAACCAGGCTCAGGCAGGCCTATAATCCTAGCGATTTGGGAGGTGAGGCAGGACTACAAGTTTCAGGCCAGCCTAGGCAACTTAGTAAGACCCTGTCTCTAAATAAAAATAAAAAGGGCCCGGTGTGGTGGCATATACCTGTTATCCCAGTGGATTGGGAGGATAGCAGGTTCAAAGCCAGCCTCAGCAATTTAGGGAGGCCCTAAGCAACTCAGCAAGACCCTATCTCAAAATAAAATATAAAAAAGGGCTGGGGATGTGACTCAGGGTTAAGCGCCCCTGGGTTCAATCCCTGGTACAAAAAAATCATCATCATCATCATCATCTTCCCTGGTACAGAAAAAAAAAAAAAAGAATCTAACTGTCCCTCATATAGGGTAACATACCATGTGTATTTAATGTGAATGAACTAGAGGCTGAGGATGTGGCTCAGTGGTAGAGCACTTGCCTAGCACGGTAAGGCCCTAGGTCAATCCCTACCACCACAAAAAGGAAAAAAAAAAAAGATGAATGAACTACATTAGATCTGTTAACAACACACACTTTATAACAACATTGCTTATGGATTGATACAGAGTAGAAGAAATTCCAAGGAAGCCCAGGAGAAGTGTAAGAAGAGGCCTGCAGAAGCAGAAACAATGTTCCTCTGAAGGAAAGCAGGTGCAGGAGAATAACTGACCCCCAGAAACCGCTGCTCAGAGGGTTAGGGTTAGGTTTACCCTGGAAGGCCTCAGGCCTGCAGAAGGAGGAGTTAAGGCTTTAAGTTAAAAAGGAGAGAACTGGACTGGGAGCAGCAGTGCACACCAGCAGTCCAAGCAACTCTGGAGGTTGAGGAAGGAGGATTCAGAGTTCAAAGTCATCCTCAGCAACTTAGTGAGACTCCATCTCAAAATAAAAAAATAAAAAATGGATGAGAAGGGGCTCCGTGGTTGAGCGCCCCGGATTTAATCCCCAGTATCAAAACAAACAAAACAAAACAACACCACCACCAAAAAGCCCTCAAGGGAGCAGGTGTAGGGACTACCAACTGCAGCAAGCACAGCACACAGATCCGATCAGCCCCACCATTGCCCTTCACGTGAATCATGCAAGTGTTTGTTTCTACCCCCCTTGATCTTCAAATATTCCATTTCATATAGTTCAGCCTCGCATGTCTAACAATTTCCTCACACCAGATCATGAAAAGTAGACAGACCTGTGACTCCTCCCAAGTATTTCCACCCCTACTACAGAAGGGCCTCAACCCAAACTGCTGAATCAGCACCACAAGGGCTTTCAACCTGGGGCCCAAGGGCTTCCGGTCCCACTGCGTGCCCAGTTTGAAACAGGGTTGTCCAGAGTCAACATCAAGGAAGTCCATTTGAGCCAGGTCTGTGGGGTGTCCCACCTGGGCTTCAAGGCAGGCAGATGAGGGACCTGCACTTTTGCACCAGGCAGTACCCTGAAAGGAGCAGAAACCGCTTTTCTCTTCGGTGCCTTCAACTCTCTTTGGGAAGTTCTTTCTCTAGGAAGTTCAAAGGTCGTAGGTCACCATCACTAGGGCCAATGGGAAGTGAGTCTCCACTGAGAAGAGGCTGATGGGGAAGAAAAGAGCAGAACAACCTCCCAGGCCTCTTCACCTTCCTGCAGATTCACCAAGATGAACGGAAGTCAGCCGTTCTCTGGCAGAGGGAGTGACCCCTATCTCCCTGGCCCACTCACTGGTGTGGGAGTCGTGGGGCTGGGGCTTCCTCAGTGCCTGGCAGGGGACTGATACAGGCGCCTAAGAGCCAGGTCTAATTCACCTCATCCTGGCCTGCCCGCCGGCCTGCCCAGCTGGCCTGGCCTGCGGAGGCCACCCCACAGTGCCGCACAGGTACTACCCCCCCACCCCCGCCCGCCCTCCAGGCCACTGACTGAAGGAGGGGCTGTGCCCCAGGCCGCGAAGTACTCCCGGCCCCCAACCCTCCTGGCCTGAGGCTGTCCCCCTTCCAGGAGTGCAAGTGTAGCACTGACCACGTCCTCTTCCCATATCCCGAGAGCAAGCCCGACATAGTCCACCCCAGCCCGACCTCCACTCTTCCTGTTTGTTGGCTAACTCTTCTGGCCCGGCTCGCCCCAGCCACCCGGGATCATGGGATCCCAGGTGATGTCTTCTGGGATCCCATGAATTGTGTGGGGTTATGTGCTGAAAGTCGCCGGGCAAACTCTTTAGAATGAAAACAAATCAAGAAACTAAAGGAAAACAGAATGCAGGTCGATACCATTATCTCAGCAATCTGTGCCGAGGACCCGAGGCCAGGGGCTGAGGCCGAGGGAAAGAGAGGCCGGCCACCGCCGCCGGGATCCGGGCCCAGCTTCCCCGCAGGCTCCTCCCCCGCGGCTCCCCGCAAACTCCCCAGCGCCCCGGGGCCGCCTCCGGCCCGCCCAGGGAGACCGCCGCGGCCGGGGCCGCCCGCCCAGCCCTGGGGAGCGCGGCCGGGGTGCACTGCGCCTCCGGCTCGCAGGCGGTCCAGCCCCGCCGGCCGCGACCGCCACCCCTGCCTGCCCCGCAGGACCCCGCGGGAAGGCGCCTGGGCCCGGCTGGGGCAGCAGAGAGGCCCAGCCTCGGCGCCCGCGCGCAGCTGGCTCCCCATCCTCCGCCAAGGTCACGTCTGTGGCGCCCCACGCCGGCGCACTCACCGGGCGCAACGCCGAGAGCCGGGGCCTGCCGTAGGGGAGCGGCGAGCTCGCGGAGACGAAGGCGGAGCCGGAGCCCGAGCCGCGGTAGCCGTCCCGGCCGCTCGCCCCTATTTAGCCTGCGCGGCCCCGCCCGCCCGGCTGGCTCGCCACGTGACGCCCCGGCGCGCCCCGCCCCGGCGCCCTGGCCTGCGCCGCCCAGCGTTCGCTGCTCCCCAGGACCCGGCGGGCCACGGGGACTTTGCGCCTGGCGGTCCCCCAGGATGCCAAGCCCTGCGGACGGGAGCCGTCTGCGGCAGAGTGGCTGAAGGTGGTCCCCAGGGTCTCCACCCACCTGGAGAAATTCTCCAGGGACCCTGCGCCCCACACTGCGCTTTCAAAGCCGCCGGAGCGCTGGGTGGGGCGCGGCGGCTGTGCTTACTTCCTTGCTGGGGTTGGGGATGGAGACGCCGGCTTCCTAGAGCACCCTTAGCATCTTGTAGCCGAATATTCTGAGAAGATATGGTTGGGGCTCAGAACGCGCCGGATACTTTGAACTGAAGGAATCCGGCTTAGAAGCAGAATCCTTCTGACCTTTCTTCTGATCCTCTTCCGCAAGGCAGACATAGAAATTAGATTGTTCCGCAAAGCAGTGGTAGAAACTGGAACTCACCTCCCGCAAGGCTTCCCTCATACCTAGAAATAATGCTCTAATCTCCCCTCCAGTGTAGGAGCTGGGGGAAAAAGAATCCCCGACTACCAAATACGACTCTCCTTCCGCGGGGGTCTTGTCCCATTCAGGGCAAGAAGGAATGCCTCCCACCCCCAAAGGCCTGGGAGGCACACAGCCAGCAAGCACAATTCATTTGGGGGAGTGCCCAGAGAGGTTGATGGGGGATGGTGAGGGGACTCAGAACTTACCTCCTTCTTAGGCTAATCTTGCAAGGTAGGTATAACCTCAGTTTTATTCAGGAGGTCAGGAAAGTCTGTAGTCTATCCAGGTTGTAAAGACAATAGGAAAGGTGTAGACTGGGCAGGTGTTCTGGGGCCATCCTGGGCAGCACAGTGAAACCTCACTTCTTAAAAACAGAGAGGAGAAGGGGGAGGAAAAAAAGAGAAAGGTGTGGGTCTGGCCAACTCCAAGGGTCCTGACCTTCAGGCTCTCCACTGAAGCCCGCAGATGGATGGCCATCAGGGACCACAGAGAGCTGTCTTAGACACAGGCAGTACCACCTCGTTGGTACCAAATTAAGGCAAGAGGGGAAAGAAAAAAAACAAATCTCTAGAGTCTGGGCATGGCTGCTGAACAGCAGTTGAGTGCAATGCCAAGGAGCTCAGACAGCAGTGGAGAAGGCAGCTCCAAGCCAAGGTGGTCCAGCTGCCTGCCTGCGCAGTAGTGTCCAGACAGATGGTCTTGACTCCAGGCTGCAAAATCAATGCTCTGATCACCTTCCCTGTGTCAAATCATTTTAGACCTCTGCAGGGAGCTCAAAAGGTGGTGCAAAGGGGGAGGACACATATAACTGGTAAATCAATCCCTCTCCCTACCCTCATTTTTATAGTTCCTTAGGAGATGTGTTTTGTCTTCATTGTCTCAATGCATCACTATAGAGGTAGAAATCACTTATGAAATAAAAGAAAACAAAAAAAGAAAAAAGAAAGAAAACCAAATAACTGATACCAGAGTAGAGGGACAGAGAGAGTATCCTGGGAAGCTTTAGGGAGAAGGTAATATCTGTATTTTACTGAATGAATAAGTATGCAGAGTGGGTTCACACATGAATAAAGTGGGCCTTGAAGTGGAGCACAACTTGACTTTACCTGCTAGATTTGGGGCTCAGGGACTCGGGACAGCTCTCACAATTTACAGAGGGGCCTTGGCCTGGATGTGTAAAAGCTGTTTGCCTGCTGAACTCATGGAACAGGCCTGGGTATATGCCCTAAAGAAATGAAAACAGATGTCCTCATATAAACTTGTACCAAATGTTCAAAGCAGCATTATTCACCGTGGCCTAAAGGTGGAAGCAACCCATGCTCATCAGCTGGCGCGTGGATAAACAAAATGTCATGTAATCACAAAATGGAATATGTAGCCACGGAAAGGAATGCAGTACTGCTCTATGCCACCACATGGATAAACCTTGAAAATACTGTGTTAAGTGAAAGAAAAAGGACCACATATCACGTGATTCTATTTTAGGGAAGTGTCTAGACAAGGCTTCTGTAGATAGAAAGTAGATGAGTACTTGCGCGTTCTGGGGGAAGGGGGGGGATTTGGGAACCGACAGTAAGGGTTATGAAGTAGTCAGAATGCTGTGAAATTGATTGTGCGGACGGTTGCACAACCCTGTGACTATGGAAAATCACTGAATGGTACATGTTAAATGGCGGAGGTTGTGGTTATGTCAGTTATATCTCAGTGAAGCTGTTTCAAAAAAAAAAAGTTGAATAAGGAAGTCTTGGGAAAGGATAGAGCTAGAAATACCCCCACTCCATCACTTAAGGGGTGCCTTTTCTGAAAAAAAAAGAAAATGCCTGATTTGTTCTCCTGTGTTTCACAAACTTGTAAATCTGGTGTCCTGGCCTTTTCTGCAGGTTTCTGTATCCCAGAGAGTTGGCCTCTGGGGATGGTTTCTATGGAGGGTCTCTAGACGTGCATTGTTGTTTTGTTTGTTTATGGTACTAGGGATTAAACCCTGGGCTGCTCCACCACTTAGCTACCTCCACAGCCCTTTTTATCCTTCACTTAGAGACAGGATCTCCTACCTTGCTCAGGATGGCCTGGAACTTTCTCCTCTCCTGCCTCAGCCGCTCAAGTCTTGGGATTACAGGTATGTGCTACTGGAGCCCTGCAGCTGTCCTGTTCTTCAGGTAATAGGAGAGGTAGCCACCATGCACGAACCTTTGGGACTTGGTGTCATGGGATTTTAGGAAAGGACAGTCATTTTTTTCTGGCCAAAATATTTTGCCCTCAGGAAACAACTGTTAAAATGCAAATACATAGCTTGGAAGAGCCATCGTCCCACTGTCACATCTAGGAATTCCTCTGTCCTTCTCCTGGGGTTCTGCATTAGCCTGGAGTCCTCTGGTGGGGAGTGTCTTTTCCTGCCTGTTTCAGGCTCAGTCCTAGGACTGCTTGGAAGGCTCTCCTGTGCCCTCCAGATCCATGTGATCTGGCATCGTCTGAGATGTGATCTTGACGCTGGGCAGGCACAGTCTACCAGGGTTGCCAGACTGAAATGCAGCCTTGACCTGGATTCTCACGTCTGGTGTGGGTTAGGTGGAGTAGTCTCTGAATACCCCAGCTCCAAGTCCGATCCTTCAGCCCCGTGTCAGTCTTTCCCATAAGGAGGATGAAGCTTGGAATCCACCACATAGAACTGTGCAACGTAACCCCTCTGTTCTTCCAATTTTCTTCCTTCCTTTCTTCCCACTTTCCTTCCTTCCTTCTTTTCTGTGCTGGTGATTGAACCCAGGGCCTCCAGCTTGCCAGGCCAGCACTCTATCACCAAGCCACATCCCCAGCCCCCACATGATTCCTTCCTAGAACAGCAAAAACTCATCTTTGCTGGAATAAGTTTCATAACACTGCTTACCCCTGGGTATGGTGAAGGTGGGAGTTGACCAGGAAGGGCCCAAGGAACTTTCTGCAGTGATCTTCACATCTTGACAAGGGTTTGGGCTGTTCAGGTGTATGCATTTGGGACACAACATGACAAGCACTCCCATCCAGGGGCCTCGGGTGGGCTCCTCTCTAAATAGAAACCTAAACTAACTACATTACCACAATTCGTCACTGTAGAAAAGCAGTTCCCACAGCCTACATGGGCCCCAAAGAACCCAGGGTCTCATATATGACAGGCAAGCCCTGAGCTTACATTCCCAGCCCTTTTAGACAGTTGGTTCCAGCAGAGTGACAGAGGAACTTAGAGACCCCAAATGCCCAACAGAGCCCGTTGCTTCATCTGGGTGGAAATGTGAGCAACTCCAACACTGGGATCAGACTTTTCAAACCCATTCCCATCGAAACCACAGGAATGAAAGATGCCGCCCAGGGAATGAAGGAGGGTAACTCACTTTTGTGGGGTGAGGCATGTCTCCATGGGGAGCAAAAGCAACTGTGGTAAGCATTTTTATATCTCATCATCTTAAATTTATCTTTGTAAATCACACCACTGAGGCTCAGAAGTTCAGTGGCACATTTTTCTAGTCCCAGGAGCTATTGGAGCAAAGGAAACTGTGGATCCAGGTCTCTCAAGACTAGGTAGGTGCCCTTCCATACATGTGCGCAGCAGCTTGGGGACACCGTGTTCAGGACTCTGAGAAGAAGCTTCTCTGGGAAATGCTGTGTGCACAGCTCGCCACTGAAGAGCACATAGGGCACAGCAGTCCTGGCAAGAGAGCCAGGTGCAAGGGTCTGGCTGTGTTCGCCTGGGGCTGCCAAGACAAGGTGGCGCAGACCACAGGCTCTCACCCCAGAAACTTTCTTTCTCGCAGTTCTGGGGACTGGAACTCAGGTCATGGGGCTGGCAGGGTCGGTCTCTCCCAAGGCCCCTCTCCTTGGCTCCTAGATGGCGCCTGCTCCTTGTGCCTCCACATGGTCTTTCCTTGGCGATTGTGTAGCCCTGCTGTCTCACCATGCGTCCAGATCTCCTCTTCGTATTGGGTGATCTCATTTTAACTTAATCCCTCTTGAAAGGCCCTGTCTCCACATACAGCCACATTCTGAAGTACTGGGCCATTTGGATTTGGGAGGACTCACAATTCAGACCATAGCACTGTGGGACAGAAGAGTGATGCTTCAGACTTTGGAGACCCCAGATGAAAAACTCGGGACATTCCTGGCCATATATATCTCAGTAGGGTGGTGGGCAAAAGAAATGCGGGCAAAGGCCAGTCGTTTCCTCAACAAATGCTAACTGAAAAGTTATCACAGGCACCATCTTGGTTACTGGTAGTTAAAAGAACTTTGCTACAAGCCCTGTGTGATTATGAGGCATACAGATTAGTAATCAAAGTAAACTTCTTTGAAGGTAAGTGCAATAGCTAATGATCTTTCTTATGTCATTTAAAAACATCCTTGTGTTAGGTCCAAGGTATAATTTGAGGTAGTATTCACATGGGTTTT